AAAAAAAAAAAAAAAAAAAAAAAAGTCAAAAGGGGCTGGGCGTGGTGGCTCAGGCCTATAATCTCAGCTCTTTTGGGAGGCTGTGGCCGGAGATCACTTGACCCGAGTAGTTTGAGGCCAGCCAGCCAACATGGCATAACCCCATCTCTACTATAAATACAAAAATTAGCCTGGCGTGGTGGCAGTTTCCTGTAATCCCAGCTACTCATGAGTCTGAGCCAGGAGAATGGCTTGAACCCAGGAGGTGGAGGTTGCAGTGAGCCAAGATTGGGCCACTTCACTCCAGCCTGGGCAACAGAGCAAGGCTCTGTCTCAAAAAAAAAAAAAAAAAGTCAAAATGGGGCTGAGCTATGGGCAAGAGAAGAAATTTCATTCTCAGAAGGAAAAGTCTAGGCCAACAGTGCTGGTATGCTCATCCTATGTTTCACACACACAGTCCCTCAACTGACTTAAGGAAGTCAGGATCAATCACGTTGATGATATTTACCCTCAATAAAATGAAATGAAAATGGCTTTTTTTTTTTTTTTTAAGACGGAGTCTTGCTCTGTCGCCAGGCTGGAGTACAGTGGCGCAATCTCGGCTCACTGCAACCGCCGCCTCCCAGGTTCAAGCGATTCTTCCGCCTCAGCCTCCCAAGTAGCTGGGACCACAGGCACGTGCCACCATGCCTGGCTATTTTTTTTGTATTTTTAGTAAAGACAGGGTTTCACCATGCTGGCCAGGATGGTCTCGACCTCGTGACCTCATGATCCGCCCTCCTCGGCCTCCCAAGTGCTGGGATTACAGGCATAACCACCGCGCCCGGCCGAAAATAGCATTTTAACTCTGTGGTTTTCCTTCCAAAAACCCATAACACCATTCTAATTATGAGAAAAACATTAGACAAATTCCAGTAAAGTCATCCTACAAAATACCTGACCAGTACTCCTGAAAGGTGTCAAAGTTATCAAAACATCATTATGGTTTTGTTTCTTTGTTTTTTGAGACGGAGTTTCACTCTAGTTGCCCAGGCTGGAGCACAATGGCGCCGTCTCGGCTCATTGCAACCTCTGTCTTCCAGGTTCAAGCAATTGCCCTGCCTCAGCCTCCAAATAGCTGGGAATACAGGCATCTCCCACTACACCCAAGTAATTTTGTATTTTTAGTAGAGTTGGGGTTTCTCCATGTTGGTCAGGCTGGTCTCAAACTCCCATCCTCAGGTGATCCACCCGCCTCGGCCTCCCAAAGTGCTGGGATTACAGGTGTGAGCCACCGTACCCAGCCAATTATGTTTTTGAGAACTGAGCATAATGTGGTGCTCTGGATGAGATGCTAGAACAGAAAAAAAATTAGTTTAAAAAACTAAGGAAATCTTAATACACTGTGGACTATAATTAATAATAATGTTTCAATACTGGTTCATTAATGGTGGCAAATGTACCATACTAATGTCAGATAATAATTGGGGAAATTGAATGTAGGGTGTATAGGAATTCACCATATTATCTTTTCAATTTTTCTGTACATGTAATGTTGTTTCTAAAAATAAAGTTGGCAGGCCGGGCGCGGTGGCTCAAGCCTGTAATCCCAGCACTTTGGGAGGCCGAGGCGGGTGGATCACAAGGTCAAGAGATCGAGACCATCCTGGTCAACATGGTGAAACCCCGTCTCTACTAAAAATACAAAAAATTAGCTGGGCATGGTGGCACGTGCCTGTAATCCCAGCTACTCAGGAGGCTGAGGCAGGAGAATTGCCTGAACCCGGGAGGCGGAGGTTGCAGTGAGCCGAGATCGCGCCATTGCACTCCAGCCTGGGTAACAAGAGCGAAACTCCGTCTCAAAAAAATAAATAAATAAATAAATAAATAAATAAATAAATAAATAAAGTTGGCTAGGCCCACTAACCAACTCCGTGGTTGACACCTGTGATCCCAGCACTTTAGGAGACGGAGGCCGAGGATGGCTTGAGCCCAGGAGTTCAAGACCAGCCTGGGCAACATAGTAGGACTCTGTCTCTACAAAAATACAAACATTAGCTGAATGTGGTGGCATGCACCTATAGTCCCACCTGCTCAGGAGGCTGAGATGCAAGGATCATTTGAGTCTGGGAGGTTGAGCCTGCAGTGAGCCATGATTGTGCCATCGCACTCCACCCTGGATGACAGTGTGATACCCTGTTGCTTAAAAAAAAAAAATGAATAAATAGGCCAGCCATGGTGTCTCACACCTATAATTCCGATATCTTGGGAGGCCAAGGCAGGTGGATCACTTGAGCCTAAGAGTTTGAGACCAGCCTGGGCAACATAGCAAAACCCCATCTCTACAAAGAATACCAAAAAAAAAAAAAAAAAAAAAAAAAATTAGCCGGGTTCGGTAGCATGCACCTGTGGTCCCAGCTACTTGGCAGGGTGACGTCGGAGAATCATCTGAGCCTGGGAAGTCAAGACTGCAGTGAGCTGTGATCGCACCACTGTGCTGCCTGGGTGACAGAATGAGACTCTATCTGAAAAATAAATAAAATAAAAATAAAGTCTACTAATA